ACGACAACGTGGACGTGCCCGCGCGCACACACAACATCGTGCCTGACAAGTCGGAGCCGTACTCGGTTAGTACTATCCTTACCCCGCTACACTTATATCACCGCTTTTCCTATCATTTCAAAGCCTAAACTGTCGTTTACAGTAAGTTTCGTAATGCATGCGAAATTATGCCAGTGCCAAAACCATGCCAACAGTGGTCACCGACCACTAGCTATGGTTGCTATTTCACGCGCATTAAAAATCTGGTAATAAGTTAGTCTATATAAAGAGGAAAGACTTGTATTTTGTTATGTATTGTAATAACTCAAAAACTACTGGGTTTTTTAATATCACGCAGCTGAAAACGCAAGTAACAGCTAGTCAGTAACAATAAATTATGTAGATTTATAATGCAGAAATAATTTTTTCAAAAAGTTTCAGAGCCTATTTAATATAACATTTTTTTCTTGTTACTAATATTGGTAAAAATATATTTACAGTACATAACATTAGCGACGGAGGTGTTCACGTTGCTGAACGCGGAGATGATGAGCGAGGGTGCGGAGCGGCTCGGCAGCGGCGCGCTGCAGCTGCACGAGGCGCACCAGGCGCTGCTCGCAGCACTCGCTAAGGACCTAGACAGAGAGACCGCTCGTACCGACACCGGTGGGTAGACATAGTACAAAGCCCAATAACCTAAAGGTTTGAGCTAAGGACTACCGATGTTGCAGTCCAGGGTTCGAATCCCGCCATTCGATTATTGTCGTGAACTATATGCTAGCACAAGCTATGAGTGTAGTTGGAATGGTTGAAGGAAACATTAGTATATTAACAAAAATCTAATATTTTTCTTACAAAAGAAATAGTAAAAAATAACCCCGGTTTGGTGTTTTTATTCAGTTTTTTAATAAAAGTGTATAACAAAATTTCACATAGGTGGCATTATCAAAATCGATGGCTAATTGTAACAAATGCTATTTGTTTATTAGCAAAAAAAGTTTCAATTCGGCCATTTCAGCATTTTTTAACTGACTCTAAAAAAGAAGGGGTTCTCAATTCGTGTGTGTTTATTTTTCTCATCTAGTCCATAAAATAAGAAATTAAACTTATTCAGTTGTATATCCATACGCAAAATTTTTGATAGTAACATTTCTACTGACTAGATGAATTATTAAAAGTAACATTAATATGTACAGGCACAATATCGTCGTGTTTCGGTGCGCGCCTGGGCGGGCTGTACGCGTCATTCAGTGCGGCGCTGGTACGCTACTTGCACAACCTGAGCGGTGCGCCCGCCTTCGCCGCGCTGCAGCCCGCACT